GCTGCCGTCACGTGATGGTGCAAAACCTCTACAGTTTGTGTTTTCATATACGTACTTTACATAACAGTGTTGCTGCGCGCATTCTTGTCTCCTCTAGCCCGATAGGATCACCAGTGTTATTGACCTCCAACAAGCGAGCCAGCATCGGGAACAATACCTGGTTTAAAGCAAGATGTTTAGCTAATAATAATACCTGGTTTAAAGCAAGATGTTTAGCTAATAAGTATAAAGGTGAAAAAGGGAAAATTGGAAACTGATTATTCCCCATGTGATCTCGTTTTGACAGCCCATCAAAAAACAGCCAATCAGCACCCAGAAAGAAATCTGATCAGGCGGTCAATTGAATCTACTGCGGGGAAAACATGGCGGCCGTAGTCAGAGAAAATAACTGAATCCTTGCTTTCCTAGCTAGCTTTTTCTGCCACTTTCGATTGGGAAGAAAATGTTGTTTGGGGACTATTGGGGACGTATTTATAAGTTTAACCAAGTTTCAAGTGCCCCTTTAAGACTACCTAGTATTCTTGGGGTCAACCACATGACTCAAAATCCCTTGAGATATGAATAAAAATGAAACAGCCGCCATCTTGGTTGATCAAACAAGAGAAGCTAATGAGGAATGCTTTGTTATCGWMAACCAACGTGGCGGCAATGACGTAACATGTAAGCATTTTATACCCTACCTTATTGAAGCAGGACTCCCATTCAACAGCAGACAACGTCTGCATATCATGCACCAATAGAGCCCTCTGTAAGTACGTCAAAGCAGACATGCGCACTTCCTTCCTGTTATCACAACACAGCCTCGCTATCCCCTGCAGTAGAGGGCACCAACACTTAGTCCACAGGAAACCCATCTCGACCCCTGCTTCGGGGGGTTCCTCTACCTGGACGTGATGCGCTGGGACCTGGGTACCAATGATTGGAGCCTGCGCAGTAAGACCTACTTTTGGACCATTTTGACTTGGTTGTTTGTTAATATTTGTGACTGCTGTATCTTTGTCGTAAAATCTTGCGGCGTGGGTATGTAGTGCGTAGATTAGTTCAATCAGCTGTAACGACATAGCGTCGTACGCGTTATTGATCGTCTCGAAGATTTCCACCTCATCTTCGCTTGTAGATGAACTATTTCCAGAAGAACGAGCGAATTTTCTTTTAGTAACACCGGTAGGACTCTTCTTTGATTTTGAACTCGAACCTTTCTTATTCGACCGGCCACTTTTTGGTTCGACCGGAGGGTCCTTGAATTGGTGTTCGTTTTGTCGGAGTCCGGCAGCGCTGTTGAGACTAGCTTCAGCATAGACGCGGACAGCGTGGATGCAGTGTARGAARTTCTCTTTCCTTACGTGRTTACAGTCACGGATCAAGAAGGTTAGGCTTTGACAAGACTTGATAAAACACTTGCTATCGTGTTTATTGAGCTGCACACTGACCGTCAAGTCGTACTGRTTCGCCGGTAGATCATCCGATTCATCTTTATTTATCAACAACCATGTATCCCCCGATGTAGATGTCCCCGAATCAGCTTCGATTGCCGTAAACGAWCCGACATCACTATCACAAGTCGATAACGCGTCGGAAACCGAATCACATTCTCCAATAGCTGAATCACTATCGACGTCTTTGACTACAGTTGGTGCTGGAGCCGGGGTCCTAGCGGTCACGGTGGGAGGCGTGGCTGCAGCGCCGACACATTCTATAAGAGTAAACACTGTGATCCAGTCTCTTGTGGTAGTGATACTAGAAGCATTGGTTCGAAGGAGTTCGTGAAGACCAAAGCATATCTGTCGACCACACGCCATTAAGACACTGTGTTTCATCATTAGTAAGACTCGCAACGTTGTTAGGACTTGGGAGGAGATTTCGTCTTTACGAAGTAAGCGGATGGCGAGACGAAGAAGACCTACGACTGATCGTTCAACCAGAGAACTAGGCGATAAGGAGGAGGAGGTGAGTAAAAGTAATTAAATTAAGGCATGGTCAGGGGGGGGGGGGGGGGGGGGGGGGGGGGCTTCGCTTGTCACGCACAGGATTCAAGATGAGGCTTCGTATATAATGCCCCCAGTGATTCGTGACAAGAGCAAAGATTTAATTTAATTTAGCATGTAGCTTCGTACAGAAACCTTTGTACGTGTGACAAGCGAAGAATATCTCGGAAGTGGGCTATTCTCCTTGGCCCGGTTGTAAGAAGCCTGGATAGCGCTATCCAACGGATAAATCTTATCCAGTGGATAAATATATCGGATAACAGCATCGACTTATCCACTGGATAGGGATTTATCCCTAGGATAGCGCTATCCAGGCTTCGTACAACCGGGCCCTGAGCAAGGGGCTCACGAATAAAGCGTGCGAAGGTGCGCTGTGTTTAAAAAATGATTGGCCGTTGCATCCACCTCAAGCAATTAG